TAGACCAGCATGCCCTTATTAAAAAAATAAAATAAAAAAAAATTCTATTTTTAATCCAGTTTGGGGAGAAATAACACCTCTTAAAACATCTACTTTTTCATAAAGCTGTTTTCCCAGTTCCATTCCTGAGGTTGCACCTGTAATATCATGTGGAAGCAGTTTGGGGGCTATGAATTGGAAATTCCAGTGTTTAATTATTCCAGCAGAACGTGCTAATTATAGATATTTGTGGTCTTCCTCATTGCACAGCAGAATTTCTTTTATTAAAAGCAGCTCCAACTTGGAAAAACTCCATTTATTTCCTCTGAGGGCTTGGAGGACATTTGCAAACAGAAATATAGACAATAACTAAATGAGATATAATGTAAGTGTTTTGAGGTAAACAGCCTGTTTCCTTAAATGTCATCAAAGCATTTGTTGCACCAACAAACGCTCAAGAGTTTTCATTTTTCACAGAAGTTTTAATCCACGTAAAACAAGAAATTTAAGGCACATTCCCACATCACCTTGGATCTCCTGCTCTGTAATTGTCTCTTTTAACTGACAAGTGTGAAATATGTAGGGCTCTCCTAAATTACAGCATCTAGCTTATTCTGTACATTTTCTCACATATTTTTACTCCTTTTCATTATTATTAAAAAAAAAGTCTTTTTCTTTCATCTTCACATCCCTGTGGTTCACATGCAATGTCTTCCTTTCTGGTGCTTTATATCTGCTTGGAAAAAGCAAGTATCACACTCTGTCTTAAAGGAAATTATTCAATAAGGTAGAAACAATTTAAATGTCACTGGTGATTTGACACTGATTTTAGTCATTAGTGGGTTTACAATGATTTCAATAATTGGTGATTTCATTTTAAGAGTTATTTTACAGAGATTGTACTAATCAGTGATTTTACACTGATTTTACTAATTAGTGACTTTACAATGATTTTAATCATTAGTGGGTTTACACTGATTTTAATCATTAGTGATTTTACACTGATTTCACTAATCCATGATTTTACACTGATTTCATTAATCCATGATTTTATACTGATTTTAATGATTAGCACTTTTCATTGATTTCACTAATCCGTGATTTTACGCCGATTTTAATCATTAGCAATTTTGCATTGACTTTAATCATTAGTGAGTTTACACTGATTTTAATAATCAGTGATTTTACTTACTTTAATAATCAGTGATTTTACGCTCAAAACCCAAGATGATTCTATTTTGCCAGACAGGATATATTGAGAAATCCAGTTTAACAGTCTTGTCTTTCCCCCTATTTTGGAACAGCTCTGACTGTAATGATTACATTTGATTAACAGATATTCTCCCCCCTCTCTGGCAGCCACTTGCATACAAACTTGGTTTTGCCTTCAACAGAACTATGCAGCCCTGGAAATCCTTGCAGCAGGGAAGTCTCTTCAACATAAATAAAAACAAGTGTGGGACTAGGCATGGAATCTTAATTAAATTCAATCACCTTGTAGTTTGTCTTTGCTTTGTGCAGCCCTGTATTTAAGATTGTGACATATTTGGATAGCACAAACCCAATTATTGCATTTTAACAACAGCAACACTTGACTTTTTCCAGGTGAGCCTTGTAGGGTTTTTTTTTCCCTCACCAGGATCTAACTTGAGCTGAACAACAGAGAGCAGCTCCCCCAGAGATCAAGAAGCTCTGCCATTATCTGTATTTCATAGTGTCAGCCCATGACAGCCACAGCCCGCAGAGCTGTCACTCCAGTCACTGCTGTCACCCTGCATTCCACAAGGTTATGCTCTGTCTTGAATTAACATCACTTTCTGCTGGTGCCCAGCACCCAGAGATTCCTTATTATCAAAGTGATCACTATAAGGGGCTTTTTTCTCATCCATCACCCTGTCACTGCACCACTCCCCCTTTTGCCATAGTGTCCTCTTAATTCTGAGTTTTTACATGAAGCTGCTTCTGTCAAGTCCATCTTTCTGTGATGATTTGATCACCTCTCCAGATCTTGTGGATTCATTGGGATCCACAGCTGTTAATTTAAATTTCTGGAAGTTCTGAGAGAACAGATTTGGTCGTTGGGCAAAGGTCTGTCTGGTTTTTTGGTTTTGTGAAACACCAGCATACCTTTTCACAACTCTAATCTCAAAATCCCCATGTGAACACCAGCAAATTCATTTAAAAAAACCCCACCCATAAACCTGTGGAAAAGCGAGTTTTGCATAAATCTGAATTAACCACAGGCTGCATTTGAGCCATCTCTTGGTGCACAGGAAAATGGCAATAAACCCTTATTACTACCAGTAGCAGAAGAAGCAGCAGTCAGTTTTCTCTCTGCTGAGTGCTGAGAAGATGTCACACTAATCAGGACGAGCTGAGTGTGTAGAAGAAATGCAGTTTTGTTCAGGACTCATTGTGAAAGTAGGAAAATAAGGAGCAGGGGAAAGCAACAATGGTGAAACCAGTGGGGGGAACAACAGGGTGATCTTTGAGCTCAGTGCCTTGGGGGGAAATGGAGCAGGGAAAAACAGGTAACAGGAAGGAAATCTTGTAGAGCTGAAGGATCAGGATTGATCTGTAACTTACAGATTGAAATAGAAAATGAAATAATATTTAGCTATTTAGCTATGTAAGTGTGACTTTGCAAAATGTAAAACTGCTTAAAAGTTTCTGCCCAAACTGTGGGCAATTAAGATAAAATAGCTTAGAGAATAGGGAAGGCTTTTTAGCCCGTAGAAAAAGGTGGGGAACCTGAAACTGTTTGAAATGATAAAACTTTATGCAACTACTCTATAATGGTAAGAATAGGAGGTAAAACTAAGTGTCTATTTAGATAAGGCAGACTGCAAAAAGAGTGTGTGTATAGATAATTTTAAACCTGCTACTTTCAAACTGTATAAAAAGCTATGGTATTTCTTTGCTCAGTGGAGCGCAGCGGGGAAAAACACCTGCCCCTTTGCACTCCCCGGCCGTAACAAAAGTGCTTTTCAGATTGTCCAAAGGTTTCTTTGAATCGAGATCAGCTAAAACTGCACTGAGAACACGTGCGTGGCTCCCTGCGCTGCTCCGATTTCCAGCCGCCTCGGGGATGGCCGCTCTTCCCTGGAGCCGAGCAGGGGCAGGACGATGGAGCCGGAAGTTCCACTCCCACAGGCCCAGGTTTGGGGGGGCGTGTCGCCGGAAAGACCCCGCGGGGCATCCTGGGAAATGAAGTCCCCAGGTACTCCGGCACGCATGCGCAGGGGATGCTCTGTTGTGATTGGTTGGTGGAATCACGTGTTGTGGCGTTTGCTTTCGAAGCGCTTCATGAGAGAGTTTGGCGAAACAAACACCTGAAGAAAAGCACAAAGATCAGTGTTTACAGAGCCACAGTGCTGTCTGCTCTCCTATATGGGTCCGAATCACGGGTCATCTACTGCCACCACCTGTGACTCCTGGAACGCTTCCATCAACGCTGCCTCCGAACAATCCTAAACATCCACTGGTCAGATGATGTGACCAATCCATCTGTTCTAGAACAGGCAGCAGTCACAAGCATTGAGGCCATGTTGCTGAGAACACAGCTGGGCTGGGCAGGGCACGTCTCCAGGATGAAGGACCAACCACCCCCTCCCTAAGATCCTGCTTTATGGGGAACTTGCCACCGGCTGCTGCAAGAGAGGAGCCCCAAAGAGGAGATACAAGGACTGCCTGAAACAACATCTCAGCCTTGGCCATATTGATCATCAGAACTGGTCTGCTCTGGCCTCAGGTCGGGAGGTCTGGAGACACCCCATCTCTAACGCTGCTGATGCCTTTGAGAACGCAGCAGGATCACCCTTGAGGAGAAAAGACAACGCAGAAAGAGTCGTGTCTTGCAGAATTTATCACCTAAGGAGTCTTTCTGCTGTGCCTTTTGCAGTTGGACATGTCTATCTCGTATTGGCATCATTAGCCACCAGCGTGTCTGTAACAAATGTGGGTAGAGCCCTTCCCAAATCTTCGTTCGCGAAGCCCGGCCATGATGATGATGAAACCTCCCCTCAGGTGAAGTGGCAGGTGAGGCAGACAGTCCTGCCAGTCTCTGTGAAACATCAGCCACAGCCACCCTTCTGCAGCACCGTGGCTCTTTCTGAGCTCCAGCTGCTGCTGGTGCTGTGCTATGGGACACTGCTGGCAAATGTTTCCTTCCTGCAGCAGCGTTTGTTCAGGCCACAGCTCTGTAAACACTCATGTAGCAACTTTGTCCGAGTTGGCTGAAATTAATGGAACTACACAAAGCAAAACACACACAGGAGCCTCCCAGAACAGAAAGCTGCGGGTTGGCAGTGGTATTTATTCACATCCACTTCACCAGTGTGGTATACAATCAAAGTAATTAAGAAAACGATAGGTAAGATAATGCTCAAGGGTGGTTTTTCCCTTTCTAAGCTTATTTTAACATAATGAATTTAGTGGAGTCTGTGATAATCTTTTTTTTCAACTACAAAATGCCTGGGTTTGAGGAGTGTTGATTAACCTAACCAGCCCGACGTGCTCAGCCTCAATTTCACTGCTTGTTGCAGAAGTGAAAAGCATTTGTCTGGCCAAAGCCTGACCTGCTTTGTCAAACTGTCTCTAGGCTGTTGACACCTCCCAGAACCACAGAATGGTTTGGATTTGAAGCGACCTGAAGGATCATCCAGTTCCTCTGCCTGCCATGGGCAGGGACACCTTCCACTAGCCCAGGTTGCTCCAACCTGCCCTTGGAGACTTCCAGGGATGGGGCAGCCACAGCTTCTCTGGGAATTCCAGCCCAGCCCTTCCCCACCCTCACAGGGAGAAATTCCTTTCCAATATCCCACCTAACCCTGCTCTCTGGCAGTGGGAAGCCATTCCCCCTTGTCCTGTCCCTCCATCCCTTGGAAATAGTCTCTCTCCATCTTTCCTCCAGGTTCCCTTCAGGTCCTGGAAGGCCACAGTCAGGTCACCCCAAAGCTTCTGTTCTCCAGGTTGAGCAATCCCAACTCTCCAGCCTTTCCTCCCAGCAGAGCTGCTCCATCCCTCTGATCACCTGGGTGCCTCCTCTGGACTCTCTCCAACAGGTCAGTGCCCTTCCTGTGATGAAATCATAGAACCATGGAATGGTTTAGGCTGGAAGGAACCCTAAAACCCATCTCAGTACACCCCCTGCCACAGGCACGAGCACCTTCCACTTCTCCAATCACAGACCTAAAGGCTGACAGCTTTATTTGGGCACTATCTGGGTAGGTATGGATTGATTTGATTCCTTCATTTTATTGATTTCCCCCTCTTTGTGCTTCTGTGGGTCCTTGGCTGTGCTGGCCACATGATAGGGGCACATGGACACCTGAGGATCCAAATATTTCCATGGGAAATACAAACACATGTTTAATTCCCACTGAATTTCAGATCCAGCACTTTTATTATGCCAGCCCTTCAGCTGGAGCTGTGCCCTGCAGCTCCAGGGCTGCAGCAGAAACCAGAGCTCCTGAATCTTTATGGGAAGTCCAACAAACTGGTGAATACTGAAAAACTAGGAGGGAAGAATCGAAGTAGAGCTGCCACTGATGCTGAGGTAACTCCTGAGGCAGCAGGAGGGATGAAAGCTGTCTTGGAGCTTTATTATTACTTGACCACATGGATGAAGATGGCAGGAAGCTGCACACTGTCAAAACACCAGAAAAAAAAGGCATCTACAGAGATGCAAAGTGGTCAGTCCTGTCCTGTGTGACACTTTAGTGCTGCCATGGGCAAATATCCAGTGGGAAACACAGCGCACAGAAGTTACTTGGGAACAAAACACAGCAGCCAACATGTTGCTACATAAAATTTGTATTTTACGAGGCTCAGTAATTACAGTGAGCAGTTCCCAGAGTGCACAGACAAAAGGGAGTGAAGTGAGATGGCACAGCCAGAGCGGCTCCTGCTTGTTCCATCCTTTACAAACATTTTGTGCATCTGTTGGTATTTGAGTTCAGAGGGACTGATCCAGCACCAGCTGATGTTGATGAAAGGATATTCATTATCTTTAGGGGCTTCTGGATTAGCATCAGATTTATTAAACCTTTCAACCAGGGCCTGGTTGGCCGTTTGGGAGTTGAAAGCATCTTGTGTCCACGAGTGTCTTAATTATAAATTATCTACACTGTCACATGTTTGATATTTTGACAGGCTTGAGGACTCTGGGAGTACTTTAGTAGGTGGAAAGGTGTCTAATACTGAAATGGACTTTCAGACAGGAGTGTGTAATGGTCTGAAGAAAATACTTGATGTATTTTTGTATTTTTATCCTCTTGTAATGCATCATCTGGGGCATTTAAACCTAAGTGTGTAGAACAGGAATTGTTCCTACAAGATGAGAGGAGCTCTGGACATACAGGCTCAGATCCTGACTCTGCCTTCACTTGACTAAGTCGTAAAATCTGGACTGTATCTCTGTCTGCAAAGTATGTGTATTAATAATTCCTTATACAGGGGGAATATTATGAAACCCTTTGTGATTTTAAGATCCTTCACTGGTAAATGTGATACTGAAAGGGTGGATGGAAAATGGAAATATATCAGATATTCCCTGACTTTTTCAAGAACTGCTTTGCAGAATTTAGCCTACAGGCTAACTCCCCATGAAATTTATTATTCACTTAAATACTGCATTGCAAGATTGTTCCAGCTAAACAAAGTGTCCTACTGCTCACTATCAGAGGGAACAGTCTGCTGCAACTACTCCATAATTGTGCTACTAATGTATACTTTATTAAACTCCTGCTGTTTTCTTAACTGGTTTATCTACTAAAAATAGTCTGATTAATAAAATGGATGTCAGATGTATCCATCTTTATGCATTTCCCCCATGGAATTAGACAGTACTAAGCAGTAATTTGGATTTTTTCTTTTCCTGTTAGTGTTAAGCAATGTCAGTTATTCTCTGCAGTGGATTGCTGGGAGGATATTACAAATTTGAATTCAATTCAGGTTGGCAGCGATGAGAATTCAGGTGTTAACTGGTCTGTTGTGTCATGGCAACCATGGAACACATTAGGATGCCACTGGCCCAAGTGAACCCAGCCTGGATGAAGGCCCTTTTCTTCAAAATCTGAAAACAAACGTGCTTGGGAAGCCCCCCTTAAAATCACATCAGCATGACTGCATGCTATGTGTTTAAATTCTGTATTTTAAATTCAGATGGATACAGAAGGGTTGGTGAGTCTGTCCTTTGCCTGCTTCTCTCCAGATCACAGCCATTCTGACAGCATTTCTCTGGCTGGGTTTGGGCTGCAGGAAGGTTTGAACATGGCTCTGGTGGGTGTCATTATGCAGATTAAAGCAGTATTTCACTCCTCATCTGTGTTACATATTCAGATGTTAACGATATATTGTTTGGAAACTACAATTATGTCACAGGGTATCAGTGAAAGAGTCTGTGCTGAATAGTTCAGTAAGTGCCACACTCCACATCTCAATATTTGTCTGTGTCATTTGAGGCTCTTACAAGTTCCCTGGAGGGTTTTGGAAGGAGAAACAGGACATTGCAGAGGGTTTGATTATCCTCTCATCAGCAGCCACGTCCCTTGGTTGATTTGATGGCATCCCCCCAGTCTACAGTGCTAGAAAATAAAAGGAGGATCAAAAATTCTGCTCACAGAAACAATGTGTTAAATTAATCCATTAAAATAACACCATTGGCTTTGCTGGGATTACTCCCCAGCATTAACTGGTGCTTTTTTCCCAATGGAATGTAACAAATATTCAGTAGCCTGAACAGAGAGTTGGTGTCACACAATCCCTCTGCATCTCCCTTGGAAATGGCACATTCCTACTTCATAGGAACCCCCCTAAATATGAGAATGAGGAACACAATCCTTTGCAGACACCTGCAAAGGTTCTGCTGCTTCCTTCCCATGTGTTTGCTGAAGGAGCTCACACAAAGCAAAGCAAGTTTTTCCCTGTGAGCATCCAGCAAATGAAATGGGAATGCAGGTGAACATCAGTTAAGGTTTGGCATTGCCTTATCTGGGTTCTGGGAGGATCCTGGGAATGCAGGTGATCATCATCTGGGTTCTGGGAGGATCCTGGGAATGCAGGTTATCATCAATTAGGAATTGGCATTGCCTTAGCTGGGTTCTGGGAGGATCCTGGGAATGCAGGTTATCATCAATTAGGAATTGGCATTGCCTTAGCTGGGTTCTGGCAGGATCCTGAATGTAGGTGAACATCAATTAGGGTCTGGCATTGCCTTAGCTGGGCTCTGGGAGGATCCTGAATGCAGGTGAACATGAATTAGGGTTTGGCATTGCCTTAGCTGGGCTCTGGGAGGATCCTGGGAATGCAGGTGAACATGAATTAGGGTTTGGCATTGCCTTAGCTGGGCTCTGGGAAGATCCTTGCTGAATTCAAACCACCTTCCTTGCTCAAAAGTGCCAATGACTTAAAAGACACACCAATAATTCTCACAGTGGAAACTCTGCTCTGATTTGACCAAACTTCAAACATCAAGCTTAAAAACTCCAAGGCTTCAGAGCTTGATATTTGTAGCAGTGTCTCTCTCTGCCCTCCAGTCTCTCTCAGTGCCCTCCAGGCACAGGGATGGCTTTGTGCCACACTTTAGGGTATTTCAGTCTTCTCATGCGTTCATCACACCGTGTTTCTGAGAGAAAGGACTTTATTTTACGAAACAGATCGTCTTGATCTTTAAAAATATCAGTTTGAAAAACGTTTCCGTTAGAATGAGGACGCACCAAAATCTGAAGCAGAAAATTTGGAGAAACATCTGCAAGTGAAATAATGAAGGTGATAAAGAAAAAAATACGTAATAGAAAGATCCCAGAGTGGTTTACTAAGAATAATGAATACAGGATGTTATTAAATAGAAGGCTTTAAGAGTGGTTTACAAAGAAAAGAAAGTTTAAGTAAGTCGAAAGATGGTATGAGAAGGAAGACAATTGGCAGTTCTAAGAAAAAAAAAGTAAGTTATAAGAAGATTGTAGTGGAAAAAGAAGTGAGGATAAAGTAAATTAAATGAAATTCTTTAAATCTCTGTTGTCTACAACCAAAACATAATCCCTCAAAGATCTGATCTCAGACAAAATGTGTTACTCCCTTGTGCTAATTTGCCCTTTTATTTACTTACCCTTATTATAACTTGATTTCCTTTCCTTATTGATTGCTTTTGTCATATTGAGGGACCCAAAGACTCGCTAAGAGAACTATAACTAGTGTTCTGTGTTACCAAAAAACAGTACAATTATTTATATATATTTTTATATACTTTTTTGTGTCTTAAGAATCAATTCTCGTTCCATGACAAATTCAAGAAAGTTTTCTTTAAACTTGCTTTTCTATAAAACAAAAAAAAGGGGGAGATATTGGGATCCAGTTTCTGAGAAAATGTGTTTTAGGATTTTTGTTATGCTATTATACTATGTTATTGTGTTATCCCCTTTCATTGTAACCCTATTTTCCCTTATTTTCCCTTATTTTCCTTCGAACCCTGCGTTTCTGTTGGCCAGTTAGCGCTGCATTGCAATACCAAGCTTATATGGCCATTTCTTCCTTATATAGATTTTCTCCTCCCCTCGTTCTCCCTGTATGGTCCTAGTTTGCAGACTCCACCCTTGCTCCTCCCCAGTTACTCCCCTTGTTCCAGCAAGTTCTGTTCCTGCCCTATAAAAGGCAGGAGCCATGTTAATAAAGTGTTCCATTTTGCACCCGACATCAAAGTGTCCAAACCCTCATTCCTATCAGGCCGTCGAGGGCGCAGAGAGAGCCTGTTTCCCACATCTGGTGGAGAATGTGGGCAGGCTTGAGCTCTCCAACACACAGAGAACTCGCCTGCCAACTCAGGGAACGTGCGGAAGCAGAGCGGGCGGCAGAGCCCGACGGTCACCACACGTGCACCTGGACCAAGCGACAGGATCTGGATCAGAGGCGGCGAAGCGATATTTTACCCTAAAATCCCCTGCCTATCCGAAACCTAAAAGATGGGAGCCCGATTAGCAAAAAATGAGATTGAATTTTATAGGCACCTGAAAGACTTTCTAAAGGAACATGGGCTCCCCGTGAGTAAAAAATCATTAAAGGTGCTAACAAAATGAGTTTATAAACAGGAAGCTGTCCCAGAGTATTTAGATTATTTGGAATAGGCCAGAATAGGAGCTGCACTGGGGAGATTTACTTTTGGGGGAGACAGGCAAGCAGCAAAGGCAATCGAAGCTCAGAAAAGTGTTTTTAACATCCTTGAAAAGACCAGAGACAGGAGGACTCGCGATCGATGCGCGCGTTCGGCGTCGGGGTTAAAACTAACCCGAAAGCAGGTGAAATCAATTGCCGTGCGTGCTCCAATTCAAAACAGTCCCTGTCCTTACTTTAAAAGTGACCGCCTTAGTGACCTTGAATCCAAAAATGGCTGCTCTACTAACCTGGATGGACAAAATGGCACCGACCTTGAATCCAAAAATGGCTGTCACTGTCAAGGTCAGTCCCAAGATGGTGCCCTTGGCAACCGGACACTGTCTCCCTTAGCAACGGGAGCAAACGAAACCCAAAATGGCGGCGCCCATGGACACCTTGCTGGTGCTTTAACACCATATCCACAGAATGTGGTGCTTTAACACCGTATCACACAGAATATGGTGCTTTAACACCATATCCACAGAATGTGGTGCTTTAACACCATATCCACAGAATATGGTGCTTTAACACCGGATCACACAGAATATGGTGCTTTAACACCGGATCACACAGAATCCAGTTTAACAACAGTCGGAAGGGCAGCTCAGTCGGCAACACAGCGGCGAAGAGAGCGACGGAAAAAGCAAAGGGCCTGGAAAAAATTTGAAGCAAAACAACTGGCAGCCCTCTCAGTGACAGAAGGATTAAACCAACTTCACCACAGCTCCTCAGAGGACAGTGAACAAGAAGTAACAGAACAAAATCCATCTCTTCGTAACCCGTCGACATCAAAATCAGCATAACCAAAAGCAAAATGGAACCAAAACCTTTTCTTCAGTTTTCTCTTTTCTTTACAACATAATCCATAAGTTAAATCTTGTTATAGTTTTTATTTAATATTGTGCGTTAAAAAGTGATTGAATTGCTTCTCTCTTTATTTAATAATTTAACGTTTATATAACTTATACAAGTTTAGTAAAGATCAGGTTAAGTAATAATCTTGCTAACTGTTTTATAAATCTTGTATTATTAAGCTTCTATAATACTTTTAAGTTGCAAAAATATTTATATTCTTTTGAAGTGTCCAAATCTTCATTCCTGTCGGGCTGTCAAGGATGCTGAGAGAGCCTGTTTCCCAGAGAGAGGGGAGCCTCCCCCCTGCTTGCCTTATTTCACCAAGTAAAGGGTTTCATGCAAAAAAACGTGGAAAAGTGTTTCCCTTTGATGGGACTCCATCAATCCCATGGATCTCTGCAGTTCTTTTAATGGCATTGCCTTTCCCGTGCCTTTAATCAATAGCGAGGAGGGATATTTTCTCTCTTGTGATAAATAAATAATTGTGATTCGTGAAACAAATGGGTGATTACATCAAAATAAAACAAGCGGATTGTAAAACTTAATTACACCCCCATGAAGAAATGAAACAGACCCTTACAAGGTCAAGGGGCCCTAAACCTCCCTACTATCCTAAAAATAAAATATGGTTTTTTTAGGCGCCTGTTCGCCCAAGAATGCATGAATTATGACTGGTTGTAGAGATAACCCTTTTAGCTTTAGCTGTAAGAAAACCCATATATTAAATACTTAGCAAAAACCTGTAGAATGTGTCTGTATATGATATAATTAATATGCATGAAGTAGCTAAGATAAATACTAAATGTACCCTGTAGTAGGGGTGCAGATTTGGGAAACTGGTCCCCATTTCTGCTTGCTTTTCCCATATAATAAACTATTATTCAAAAACTTACAGAAACTCGAGACTTTGTTTATCACGTCTCCTAAACGAGGACAATTCTTAGGCAAAGTGAAGGCTGAATTGTCATGCAGAACAG